CGCGCTATAAGCACCATAGTCGTTATTTATTTGTGGTATACACTATAATATTGGTTGAGCGCTCGGGACCAACCGACAGGTAGTTGAGCTTCATTCATTTTCAGCTTTACTCGCACATTTAATATATTTGTGACTTTGGAGTTAATTGTTGTTGAATATTATTAGGTATTGTAGTTAATAGCGTTAGTTAGTTAGTGGTTAATAATAGATAAAATTTACTTACCCAAGTTTGAGGTTGCATATTCGCTACCCGCGTGGCATATTGGAGTTTTATCTCGACTATTGACTATCGAATATTTTCCTCAACTGGCGCATCGGCCGTTTTTTGGTTGATCTTATACGCTCGGAAGGTGCCATCTTTCTTCCAATTTGCCTTCTCTACGGTACACGAAGCCGAAAATTTCTTTTTGCTGCACAACATCGGACCTTTGAATCAATTTTTTCGGTCTTCCTTACAAACTCTTTGAACACAAAGAGTCGAGGGTTGGGGGTCAAAGTGACACGCGAACACTATAATGCTTTCCTTCTTTTTCGTAACCGTTATATTAGGTCCAGTGTTGTACTAACAACACTAACTCAAGGGTAAAGTTAACGGAGCACCAATACTTTCTCGACAAGATGTCCGCCATTATTTGAACACAAGGGAGTCTTCTATCCAAATTAGTCCACTCCACAGTGGTGTGGTTGAAGGAAAGCGAGGTCTTCCTGAGACCACCCCAGGACACGGACAAGAAGAAAACGGCCAATAAATGTCGACTAGCCGTACGCATATGCGACGACCATGTTACACTTGTCGAATCTTCGCTCAACAAACTCGCCGGATCACTCGAAAACCTGGAGGACCGAACAGAGGACGATGACGCACAGTTCGACAAGTTCATGAACAGAGCACATAGTATCATTATGATGCTCCATGGTCGCAATAAGGACCTTCTTCATACTCTGGACGATCTCTTAGAGTCGTTAGAGTATGATCATGAAGGACAACAGGGAACAAGGAATTTCCTGTCCGTAGCAAACTTCCACCTATCCCCATACTCACCCTCAGCGGTAAGCGTTGGTAATGGGAAAACTTTTGAGCGCTTTTTAAAGAAAATGTTCTCAACGAATCTGCAAAAATTCAATTACTTGCTGTCATCCCTTACTGAGGGAAGCGAAGCAATCGGTATCGAGGTTCCAAGTCAGTGCAGACAATTACAAATAGGCTCTATAATATTTGAAGAAACGATACGGTCAAAAGGACGGCATCATTCGTGATCCGCACATGGCACTAAAATCGACTCGCAGTCCACGCTTAAAAGACCAACGCCAATTTCTTGAAAAAGTGTCGGCAATAGCTATTCAGCTCAAGCAGAACATGGAACACGTAGACACACACTTAACGATCCACACCTTTCTTCAAAAGTCTCATGTCAGGTTTCAGAAGGCAGCCATGGAGAGACGCCTTCAAAGTGAAGCGACACACGGAACTGCAGAGCCGACACAAGCAGAGTGGACGTTATCTCAGTGGTTCGAGGCAATAGAAGGAGCCATTTCTCAAAAGGAGAAGTTGAAGGAAATGATAACCGATGACCTGGAAAAGTTCGAAACACAGCAACAACCAAATCGAGTGAGAGGTAGAACTCAGAACTCAGTGTGCTGTGAAAATTGTAGACAAAATGGACACAAATGGAACGTCTGCCCACACTCCCTACCCTCTCCGCAAAAAAGAACTTTCTCATCGAAACGAATAGATGCTTAAACTGCGGGTCAAGCATGCATCGAGTCTCGTCGTGTTCCAGTGGCTCTTGTCGAAACTGTCAGGGGAAACACAATACCGCGATTTGCACCAAATCGACGCAGAGGAGCCCTCAACAGCAGAGCTACATATCAAAAAAACGTACCATGCCACCAGGATCCATGAGACTACCACAGGAGCATGCACAAAAGGAACCTCTTGAGCAGAAACCCGCAAAATCATCTAAACAACATAGCGTCATAACAGGCCCAGACCCCGCCGCAACAATGATTGAGCAGGGTAGAAATATGTTACAAACCTACCGCCAACCGCGGGGATCAGACACAACACGTAATAAGATTGTTCTGCTAGTAGGTTCTGCACAAGTACTCGACGTCAAAAACAGGCTACGGGAAGCGATTGCGCTCTTAGACACCGGATCGGAGCTTTCCCAGTGATAAGTGACAAGCTAGCCGACGAATTGGATCTACCGGTAATCAATAACACGACATTGACTATCGCGATTTTTGGCTTGCCCAAATCCTATACTAGGGGATGCGAGATCACAACCTTGCGCCTCTGTGACATTGGAGGTATTCGACACGAGCTACAGTTGCACCGAAGCCAGTACATAACTGGTACGGTAGAACAAGCAGACCTTAACGAAGAGAAACTCGAATTCATTTCCAACCATGGCCTCACATTATCCATGCCAGAGCGACTGTCGCCAGTACAGCCGCAAATACTGTTGGGTTGCAACTATTTGTGGGAGTGTATGCTGCCTTTAGGAAAAATGACGTCACCCTCTAGTCTGCAGGTGATCCAACAAAATTCGGCTATATAGTTAGCGGACGACAATCCCTAGAGGCGCACACGTCAAGAAAAACCATTGTCGTCTGCGGCACAGAGGAAGAAAAGGAGACTTGGGACCGGTATTGGGCCCTCGAAGCCACAGGTGCGACGAATTTACGGGTCCGGAAAAATCAGAACGTCAGCAGATCAACGAGAAAGTCCTTCAAGTTTTTCGAAGCACTATTCAATGCAGAGATGACGGATACTATGTCAGGTTACCGTGGAAGTCAAGTTGCACTACTCTGCCAGGCAACAAATCAATCGCGCAAAAAAGACTTCATAATGTGCTCGAAACGTACTTACACGACAGGGATACACTACTGCAGTACGATGCCATTTTCAAAGAACAGTTTGAAAAGAGGGTCATAGAGGAGGTTCCGCAGGTAGAACCATTGGAAGGGACCGTAGTGCACTACTTACCACATCAGGCGGTTATTACTCTGTCAAAGCAAACTACAAAGATGCGAATAGTATTCGACGCCTCTGCGCATTTCAAAGACAAACCATGTCTTAACGTCGTCCTTCATCGAGGACCCCTCCTCCTCGCAGACATGGTTTCCATTCTCTTACGATTCCGCGTTCACAAAAAGCATTTCTACAGGTTAGACTGCAAGAGGAAGATCGAGATGCTACCCGATGTATGTGGGTACGTGATATTTCCCTCCCACCGACTAAGGAGTATATCGTCACCCACAGATTCACGAGAGTAACGTTTGGGCTCAATACATCACCGTTCCTGCTGGCATCCACAATTGCATTCCACCTCGATCATATGACATCAAGTAGCGATATGGCCAAAGAAATAAAGGAAAACGTCTACGTCGATAATTTGGCTATCGGGGCGAAAAACTTAGAAGACGCACTGAGTAAGTATTACGTGGCTAAAGACGTCTTTAAGGGCCTCAACATGAACTGAAGAGAGTTTTAGTCCAATGATAGCGTCTTCAACTATACAATTCCTTGTGAAGATCGTTCACAAACGGACTACCCAAAAGTCCGGGGACTACAGTGGAATCTACAGCACGATAAACTTATTCTCAAAGGGGCAATAAATCCATGTGGTATGGTGACTAAAAGGACAGTATCGAGGAAACTTGCATCAGTATATGACCCCTTGACTGGGACACACCTTTATCACCTGCCCTAAAGGAACAATGGATTATTATCTCTAAGGGGATCACCACATTCTACAAGAAGTTGGAGAGGCGAGCGATACCATGCGGAAGGCTCGACTATGTTCGTTTTCGCAGACGCCCGGTTCACCTTCGTCCATAAAATTAGTGATGGCGAAATCGAAACTACGGTCCCTGAAAACAGCCATAACGATTCCTAAAATGGAAATGAACCCCTCACACTTGCGACACGACTGGCACATTTTGTCCATACATCCATGAGCCCACTCGTAGATATACAAACGATCCTTCTTTCCACCGACTCTGAGATTGTCTTAGGATAGCTCAGAATACCACCTGATCGCAAGAATATAGGGGTGTTGGTGACGAACCGGCTGAAGAAATCAAGAAAATTGTTACGAACCTAGACACGAAAGGCGTTACATGCCTATTCGGGCATGTGCCAACTAAGGACAATCCAGCAGACTGCGGAACACGCGGATTCACATTGGTAACATGTGAAGAACACGTCTGGTGGGAGCGTCCCGAAATGATACATAAAGACATATTACAAATGTCCGAAGGTATGTTCCAAATCACCACGCAGGATGGGGAGGAGCCGGATGAGGTAGAAACCCCCATGGTAGTGGCAACACTTCTTAAGGAAAAGGACAAGCTGGACAACCTAACCACCTTCGATCTCTCAAGCTTCAGCACACTACACAAAGCGCAACGGGGGGGTCGCGTATGCGCTTCGGTTTATAAGAAGATCTTTCAACCGGTTTAAAGCAGACCGAAGGAAGCCATTTTCAACACGATTCCAGCACTCAAAGTGGCAGCTTTGAAGCACGAACTGTCAGGATTAGAGTTGCGAGAAGCAAGGAAATGTGTTATTCGCGATCACCAACACGATTCAGTCAATACCAACACGATCCCGTTGAAAAAGGAGCTGAATATCCAGCCTGATGAAGATGGGGCATTACGCTGTTATGGACGACTTAAACTTGCTTCCATGCCACCATCAGCACAAACACCGATATGTGTCGCCCCAAAAACAGCCCTTGCACGAATGATCATATGGGAAGCAGACTCTCAATATCACTTGGGTGTCGCGCATACGATGTCTGCAGTCCGAGAAAGGTACTGGATTGCAAAATTGAGACAATAGGTAGCGCAACTTGTTGGGAAATGTTTCCCATGTCAGAAGCAAAACAACTTACAATTCCGTTACCCAGATATGGCAAACCTCCCGGAACGACGTGTTCAGCGAGCGAACCCGTTTGAACATATCGGACTAGATTACTTTGGCCGCCTAATCCTATCGAGCACGGGAGGCGAGTCCAACAAGGCACATGGGTGCATCTTTACCTGTGCCACCACGAGACTTATTCACTTGGAGCTCGTGGAGGACATGACTACGGAAAAGTTCCTGAAAGCAGTTCGCAGATTTTTTGCACGAAGAGGGATACTACGGACAATAACGTGCGACAACGCCCCAATGTCCCTGTTGGGTGAACGGTTTCTACACAAAGCCGTGAAGCAGATGATGGAGCACTCGGATATAGTCCTTGCTGTAGCACAACGAGAAATAGACTGGATTAATATCACGCCTTACGCACCGTGGCAGGACGGATTCTATGAAAGGCTGATTAAATCCATCAAGTTGTCGTTGTACAAAGCGTTGGCACGTCGCAAGGTCTCATTCGATGTGCTACGAACAATGCTTACGGAAATAGAGGCAGTGTTGAAATTCAGACCACTCACGCACCAGTAGGTGGGAACAACAATCTTGTCTGAGACCAATCGATTTCCTACAGAGAGGCGTAATAGTTGATTACCCACTGGAATACATCGGCTCCCCACACGACGATCCAACCTATCATACCCCGCAAGAGGCGATACAACTACGGACACAAAGCCAAGTAGAAAAAGCCCTCAAATCATCAGTGGCATTGACTAATTGGCGCATATGGAGGACACAGTACCTCACGAGTTCACGAGAATATCATCAACGTCACATGGACAACAAACGTGATCCAGGCTTACTCCAAAAAAGTGTATGATAGTACTACTTTGTGAACCGGAACACCCCCGAAACACATGGATCATCATTCGAATCGTGCAGCTAGGGAAGGACGGATTGGAAACGACACAGGAGGTCACCGTCGAACTACCAAATAAACATCGAATCCGAAAGCCGGTTGACTGGATTTTTCCCTTGGAAATTGGCGATGCCCACGTAGGCGAAAACGCGAGGATCGTGCCGAATCAACAGACCAGGGATACTACGATCCCTGATAAGGAGCCGACCGTGTGTCCATATAATCTGAGGACGCGAGGGAGAAGTTCAGTGGAGACAACGGAGAACAATGAAGACGACCAGGAGATCTTCTTGAACCAGGATAATTTCAACCCTTTCCGACAACTCCCATGAACTCTTCTTACAAAACTCACCCTGGTAAATCTTACGATGGCGAACAACCACTCCCAGAATGAACATCAACTCTCATGTATAGCAGGCGGCGTATAACTTACACAAAATGGGAATAATCCATATGATATCTGCACGTAGAATCACTGTCTATCCTTCTCTCGCCAGAAATGATAGAAAAGATCAAATTCCCATCTCAGATAACCCTCCATGACTACCAAGTGAAGTGGAAGATCATCAATGGGGTCAATATGGAAATAGTGGAAACTATCTGTAGGGCAACACCATTTTGCCCCAGTATAGACTGTACCTTCTGCGTGGAAATCATCGCTAACCCGGAATACTGGCCAAGAGCAGCCTTAGCGGGACTAGGAATAGAGATATATATTATCCTTATGATGATATATGTCATCTTCGCAGTACCGTTCGTAATAGGGAAACCACTGCTGAGCATTGCACAAATAATGGTTCCTTGCGGCAATGACAACAAGGACCATCTTCAAACTTTACACGGCGATTTTCCGCTGTTTGCTCACACTGCCGAAATGCCGACGTAATCGTCGCATGTAGGCAGAGATAGCGGTCGCCGTCTCCGTCATAGCTGTATTAACACAAGGATGCCAAGAAGCAGATGTCCTCCACCAGCATACCGAAACATGCAGGATCACAAGCAAAAAAGACGTGTGTACAATCGACACAACGGAAGTCGTGAAAATTAATCCTTTAAAGAGAGAAGCATGCTTAAGACCAACAGCAGACGATTCAACGGTCACAGAGCTTCGTCTTCTCTGGCAAGAACTTCAACTTTGTGAGAAGGAAACCATTCTGTATACGCAAAGCACAAGATATGGACTACAAGATAGCAAACGATGCCCACGGGTCGGATCTTGCAAGAATGAGAAATACGCATCGTTGAAACGATCTTCTCTTCTGAAGGAATTAGAACGAACTAGGTGTTACGGTAGGCACAGAAAGCTGCGGGGGACTAGGATGCGATTATTTCTACCCTAATTCCGAATGTCTCTTCTACCGATTCTACTTGATTACAAATGACGAGAACATCTACGAATTTCTCAAAAGCGCGATATGGAAACCGTCGGTGGCCATTCTAGGCACAATGAACACAATAAACACGCCGAAACAAACATTTCACATACGACTATCAACAAATCAACCGAAAACCTTTGCATGGTGGTCTCTTACGTTGTCATCGCTTGGCGTTCCACCCACACCGGTTCTTGATAGTACCTTCATATGGGACGGCACGGAAACGGCCATAGCTCCACGCATCTATCGTCCTCCACTAATCTGTGGAACACCGGAAGAAGCTCGCAATATGACGTGTAAAATCGAAGAGGAATGCAAATGCACGCCAGCGGAGGTAAAAATGCGCTGCAATTATTATTGGAAACCAACCTAACAGCACACATGCGGCATCATGACATCGACTACCGCAACTCCGACCCAATGTGGATTTAACGACGAATCAAAGTCAAGTTTTTGCTCGAATTTCGCAACTTCCAACAGCAAAATTCGTCTTACACGTACAAGGAACCTTCCAAACGACTTCGTTGGTGCCCGACGCTGTATGCACCATCGAAAATACACACTGTCAAGGATGTTACAAATGCCCCAAAGGAGCCTCGGCGACGGTGACGAGCAAGTCCTCCACTGCGAAGGAGAACGCAGAAATACGGTGCGGAGACAATCCATTCACTGTACCATGCACCAAAAACGGAACACCGTCCAAATTGAGATTCTACGGATTCTACGCAGATACTGCACGTTCCTGACTTTATGTACAGTGCACTGTGGTAAAGTACGACATCGATTCGAGATAACTGGTATTCTGCACTATACTGGCAGTATTTCCATGGCAATAACACGACTTATCAATGGAGAAAGTGAAGTGTTCTCGGAGATTAACCTTCCAGACATCAACATAGTTGATGTCTTCCTGAATTGGAGCGGATCACTACTCCTAACTGTCGCTGCAGCTTTGTCTAGCTAACAGCTTCGTACTTGTCTTCCTTCGCATGACCTTTCGCTTCCTAACCTTTATCGTAAGAGCCAGCTTATACCTTCTATGCATACCACTACGACTTTCTACTCGACGGTTCACGACGAAGTCAGCGGAAAAGCTGCTCTAACAACAAGACCAACCCATCGACTACTTGTTCATGGTTCCTCGACTAACTCGCATGGCAAAATTGCCGGAATTACTAACCTAACACGGCACGGAATGGGAAACAACTTTCACAAGATCGAGACTACACCGACACTAAAATAACAACAAAAATACCACACGAAAGATGAAATTTTCAGAATGGAGCTGAAGTTTTACGGTGACAAATGTTACGAAAGCGACGACGTTGTGGAGGAAGAAGAACTGCAGTTCGTCATCTCGGAAACAGACAAGACACCGTCATAACAGAAAAGGGGAAGCGCTCCACTTCTAGATGAAGTTGAAGCAGCTACACAAGGAGCACAAGCACCACCATAAAGAGGAGCTCACGATCTATCTGGACACTTCGTTTAGCGCACCAATGGTACGAAATTCTTGTGGCAGCCAACGAGATGGAGGAACCCTCGCGTCTGGATTTCCTACAAGAACTAAAGAACGAGGTCCACCACACTCGCACGGCTCCGGGAGAACCAGGCTATCCTGAAATGGCAAAAACACGACGCAGTTATGACAGGAACGATGTCGTCGGGTTTGCGAAACGACACATGCGATATTACAGGTCACCATTGGACGGGGAGAAAACAGCGCTAGAAGAAGCAAAACATCACTCCCAGCTTGTCGCACGATTAGAAGAGGAGACCATGCTGGAACTTCGCTCGGGACTGGCTGACCTTCAATCGGAGTGCGTAGTAAAGTGGAGGATTAAGAAGAAACCATGCACAAGCTAGAAAGGAAATGTCAGGTCCGAATGGATCAAATAGTGGACGGAATGGAAGCAAATCAACGAGCCTTCACCAGACAATTCCACGAACTGAAAGAAATGCTTTAGAAGGCCAAATCAGTCTTCAACCGGAAGGGATCGAAGAGGAAACACGACGTAAAAGAGGAACTTCTTGAAAAACGGCGCATTTGTGAACAAAGTTACGACGAAGCGAAAAGGAACTGAAGGATCTCGACCGTTATTTGAGCAACAACATAGTCAGGGAACGTCACTTCGGAGATCGTGTCTTGAAGAATAGTGAGGCCACGCTCCCATGCATCTTCTGTCGAGCAATCGGGAGGCACTATCAGACGCTTGCGCAGCAGTTCGAACAGTGGAGGAAAGACTGAGGAGTATCAAGTCCACGGATAGCTGCTTGATATGCATCGAAATACACCCTGGAAGACCCTGCTGAAGAAGTTATCCTGCTTTGCTGCAACCAACTTCGCCCGCACGAAAAGACGGATCACTACGCCAGCATTTGCCGCTGACCGGAGAAGTTTGCAGAGGCCCAGCGGAAGCGATGGGAACCGATGGCCGAGGTCGACAAGTACCGAGCAGCACGTCAGACGGCGCACCGAGAGCAGAGTGAAGAATGCGGAACTTCGGGAATGTCAAGGACGCAGAAGCCACTTGAGTAGACCGCAGTATACTGAATCGTTCAGTATTCTTCTTACACAATAAGTTATTTTGCACAATAACTTAAATTTCATTGCACTATGAGATTAACCTTGCTCTTTGAGGGTTCTTTGATGTCTTATCTGATTAATCCGGAAGATTCCCATAATCGACTGAACTATGCTGTTCATATGGCTTAGCATTTCTCTAACTTATCAGCTCTGGATCGCAATCGAGCGGAGGATGTTGACATTTTTATCAGATTGTTCCCATGTGCGATGTTGTTCACACCAACCTGAGTGTACATAAATGAGATGCGGCGAGTGGGAAAGAGTTTTTCTCTTTTCTTCTCTTGCTCTCTTCTAGAATTGCTTTCCCATCCATATTGTCGTGATTAATGTAACCTCTTTCGGAAAATGCACTGTGAGTGACCTTATATTTCGCGCTGTAAGCACCATAGTCGTTATTTATTTGTGGNTATCAGCTCTGGATCGCAATCGAGCGGAGGATGTTGACATTTTTATCAGATTGTTCCCATGTGCGATGTTGTTCACACCAACCTGAGTGTACATAAATGAGATGCGGCGAGTGGGAAAGAGTTTTTCTCTTTTCTTCTCTTGCTCTCTTCTAGAATTGCTTTCCCATCCATATTGTCGTGATTAATGTAACCTCTTTTGGAAAATGCACTATGAGTGACCTTATATTTCGCACTGTAAGCACCATAGTCGTTATTTATTTGTGGTATACACTATAATATTGGTTGAGCGCTCGGGACCAACCGACAGGTAGCTGAGCTTCATTCATTTTCAGCTTTACTTGCACATATATTTGTGACTTGGGGGTTAATCGTTGTTGAATATTAATAGGTATTGTAGTTATAGCGTTAATTAGTTAGCGGTTAATAATAGATAAAGTTTAACTACCCAAGTTTGAAGATGAATATTCGCTACGCGCGTGGCATATTGGAGTTTTATCTCGACCATTGACTAACGAATATTTTCCTCATTTGCTTTCTTACATCATAGAATGTCATCCAGATCTTCTCTAAGCTTCGCCAAAACTTTCCCAGCCTTTAACTTGAACATAGCAGCGCAAACGCATCCTTATCTGATGTCTGCAGCTTCTCGGTTTTTTCTCCCATGACAATCATTTACCAACTGTAGATGCATAACGTGATAACAGTTCAGTCGGCATAAATACTCGCCACCATTCATCCAAGGTATCCAGTCTGTTCGTTTCGTCGCGAATCACTCACACCATACCCTCCACAATTCCTTGACCGATTCCTCGACCTACAACAAGATATCAAAGCTGTCAATACAGAGGATCGTCGAACCCCACAGGTATCTACTTCCGATCAAAAAGAAGATTCCCTCTGCTATTTGAATTGGACGCACCAGCTCTTCGCTTTCACTTTCGCTTCGTGAGTTCGCGGAATGCATCAAACAACTCATTAAGAAGGTGATGCGAAATAAGCCAAAGCCCTTCAAAAAAGAAAGTCTTCTTGATGAGTCCTCGCCGGTCCCAGACCTGCCATGCGCTTTCATCCTAGAGCATCTAACCCATCTTTTGAGGATGCCGTAGTCTAAGCAATTGCTTTTTAATTTCACAGAAAGGACGCAGCAAACGCCATGACCACATTGTCACTGGCGCACTCCTCACCTACCGTTGTCCACGCCATACACGCCATGGACAATGAATCAGCAATTCTATCCAGATATACTTCGGCATACGCAGACCCTCGAGAAACTACCAACCTAGGAATGTCTTCAATTGTAGAACCGCTTAATGCGCAGCCAACTCTGACGCCACATGTTCCCGATGCGGAAGAATAGGCCATATTCAAGCCTTCTGCACATTTCAACTTCTGCCATTCCACTTAGCACTTCCAGAACCGTTCTACCTCACTGCACCCAAACAACCAACTCGAACAGATCCTCGTCAGACGCTAAGCCAGTGGGCTAGTGAACAGGCCCCTAATAATCAACAGTGGGTTGAAAATGAAGCGCGCTCCCTAATAGTATCATCGCATGAGCACACAGTATCTCCTGAAACGTGTCGCCACATGGTAGCCCATAAGTTCTGCGCCCATGATGTCCTCCCTATGGTAAGGATAGTTGTGAAACCAACCATGAACACTCAGAAATGAACTGGCCATCAGCCCCTTTTCAATGCTGCTCAGATCACTCCGTTTCGGTCTCCAAATGTATAGTTTTTCTGGCGTCGATTTTCGCATATCACTGTCCTGACTCAATCGAAAGCTCTAGGAGGCCCACGGACAACTGCAACTATCACTGCGGCGAATATAATGTACAATCTGGAGCGGCAGTGATCTGAACCTCCGACCAGCAGCAAAGTTGTAAATATAGTCATCTTCTTCAGGAAAAGCGGAAAAAGTCAGAAAAAGAAAAGGAATTCGTGCTCCTTCTCTTTTTCCGCTACTCCATTTTTGACTGTGGTCGTTCCCTTGTTATCACACGTTAAGTTTATGATTGTGAGTCTCCTTCATACTGATTGTGAGTCTCATTCATAACATTGTTCCAGACGTCATGTAAATTTACCTAGTCGTCAGCAGATTGGCCTAGCGCCAGTTGGCTGCACAAATGCTAGCTGTCGAAGATGGTATGCAACAGCCTTCGAGCAACTCATTCCATCACGCTATCCCACCACTCTCCAAGTCGACCAATTTTCTTAGTACTTCGTTAATAGCTGCAATCTCCGCTATCAAAATAGCTATAAGAAACATACCACAACGATATGACACGTTAAAGCCAAATTCCTAGAAAGCAACATTGTCTGCAATTATTCATGTCCCAGCCTGTCATATTCCATGTACTCGCTATCGCCGTTCAAGAAATCATGCTTTTCTCTACCTTCTCTCTGCATTTCTTCCAGGCAAAACTTTTCACGATCCTGTTACTACACTATTTCTCATACCGCCAGTACCGTGCAATGTGCCACAGATTTCTTATTTGAATTACCTTTCAACGACTCCGTTTCTCCATATATGCCATTGTCTGGTTCATACCTCGTTCCACCATAACCGTGATTGAACACTCATTCGTCCATCCTCAAAGTACCCTACGCCCCGCTTCTACTTTATTCCATAACGTGGACATCACCAATATCGGTGAATTCGTCCCACAACAACAATTCACTGAGCTATGGGCAGCTATTGAAGGGAATCATATACCCCCAAAAGCTCACACCAGCGCGGTGACTCATCGCGGCCCAACTAAGCCCAATACCCTCTAGACTCCATCCTTCCCCTTTAACTAGGTCAGCTTTCCCTTAACAACAGATTACAAACCATGGGTCACCTTGTGTTGCATAGTAGTTTCAATCCAGCTTCTGTTTCGCATTTTCATATTATACTTTTCCAGCCAAATTTCCTCCCATTTGCTCCAGCAGAAGCTCGTTTTCACAATAAAAGGGGCGGAGTCTCAGCCAGTCATTGCCAACGCCACAAGGCTTCCGTACCTCCGCGGAGTACCCAATACCCCTGGAACCCGCACCCTTTCTCGGTGATTATTGGTGACGACTCAATCCCTCTCCACACGCATCCTGATGGCAGTCAACGGGGTCAACGTATAAGCATTAAGTATCTTTACATTGGACCCTCCTCAATCTGTCGCAGCGATGAGGGTCCGGAATCTTTTGATCGTCGCTAATAAAGGAGTAGTTATTCTAATTAAACAAGTCTAATAAACATAAAAACAAGAAAAGGAAAGATAAAAGACGATCAAAATAATAAAAAAGAGACAACAAACGAAAAGTATTGCGTCATATCGATTGGCGGGGAGGCGGGGTGAGTACGGTAATTGCAGTGACATTTGCCGGATGCCGCAAGGGAGAATGCCGCGATCGAGGAGAAATTCCGTTACCCCAGCGATGAGGATGGTAGGCATCCATGACTCTACTGCTGAATCAAAGATTCTTCAGTTGAGAATTGCTAATATCTGTCTCCCACACATTTTACATTTCTCTAAGGACTCGTGCGTTTCTGACGTCAACTTAACCTACAAAGTTATCTCGGGAAACGACGTCTTAGCTCTGCTACAACTATGAATATCGACCTCCAAAATCATCTATCTTTCGGCCAGGCAACCCTTCTCTCGGGATTCCGTAAGCACCCCCCCCCCCACAACATCATTCCCGCTTGCATCCTTCCCGGCGTGCGTAAGCGACTATAAGACTTTAGCAAACATGGAAACCTCAGTCCCGTGCACCCCAAACGGCTTGGAAACAACTACATATTTCGCACTTATATTTTTCGCATTATTTCTCTCTTGAAGGGACTTCACTATAGCTTGAGGCCATAATCAATTCTGCACATCCGGATTTTCTGTT